ATTGATTGATTGATTAATGTAATTGAATTTCAATATATATTGTACCTCGTGTACTTGGGTTACCTGTGTTAGTCGAAGTTTCCAAAGGGCTGCAAATCATGACGGATCCTCTGATATTCTACCTTTTACCTGTTGGTTTGGTCGTATTTGCATCCATTTTGTATCTTTTCTGTCGTGATTTCAAAGTCCCTAATCTGGACAATAAATGTGTCGTAATTACTGGATGTGATACTGGTTTTGGACATCAGTTGGCCATAACTTTGGACGCGTTAGGCCTTCATGTGTTTGCAGGATGCTTGACCGAGGAAGGCGAACACGAATTGCAAACCAAATGCTCTGAGAGACTACAAACTGTTAGAATGGATGTCACAAAGTCAGAGGATATTCAGAGATGTTTGGAGTGCGTGAAAGGCTTTTTGGAAACCGTTGATAACACTGGTAACAGTTAAATWAACAAAATTAAATTAATTAATTAAATATATTAATTAATTAAATTGAATTAAGCGATACTTACGTCGAATGTCTATGTAATTAAATCGACTGTTCTATATATTACAACTTAAATTTTATGTTATTGTTGGGCCTATTTAATTTCATGTGTGTATAGTTACTTGTGCACCTCTATGTCCTATAACCTAACCCTACCCTTTGCCCACTCCCCCCAGCATAAACCTTCCCGTCCAAACGCTTTTCCTGGCTGACGTCCATTATATTATACTTATTATCTTATTTCATTATAATTTCAATTTGCAGTTCTTTGGGCTGTTGTCAATAATGCAGGCATAGATATCTGTGGATTAGTAGACTGGACTTCTACTGATACCATGAAGAAAGTTTTCGATGTTAATTTGTGGGGTCTTTTGGATGTAACAAAGGCATTTTTGCCACTTCTGAAGAAGAGCAAGGGCCGAATTGTTAATGTTGCAAGTGTAGCAGGAAAACTTGCACTCGCTGGTAAGTGAATCAGTTTTTTTTTCCTTTTATTTTTCCTTTTTTTCTTTTTTTATTCCAGTTCTCATTTATATATCCCATTTTTTTATTTCATTTTCATTGTTGCTCATAGGTGCTGGTGCATACTCRGGCTCTAAATACACTGTGCAATGTTATAGTGATGTACTGAGGCGAGAGCTTTGGCATTTTGGAGTAGGAGTCCATATAATTGACCCTGGCTTCTTTAAAACAAACATGACCAATTCAGCTGCCAAATGTAAGGTCATTAAACAATTGTGGGAAAATCTCAGTGAAGAAAAGAGAGAAGAGTATGGACAAAAATGCTTAAATGAAGGTACAGAGAAAGGAAATGCCACAAAGATATGTGATACATGCCTCATTCCATACATAGGTKTCTTAAAAAGGACAAGTTATTTATTATTATATTGATTTATTAACTGCTTYAAGTTGTATGCTTGCATGAAGATTGCCTCGCTGTGGTCAYACAATGCAAAATTTGGATTGTCAAAACCAGTTCCCCTAAACCTCCCGTGCCAGGAAATTGCATTATATCATGTCATACTATATACTTACACTTTCTATTATAAAGGTAGATTAATGCTAATAGTAAAGCATAACAGCTYTTTTTGGTAAAAATTTGATATTACAATTAAATCAATGGTTTTCCTTTATTATTTCATTTTCATTTCTCATTAATTTTCAACAGCTTTGAAACTGACTGAAATGTTACAGTACAGTCAAGACATGAGGCCAGTTGTTGATGCAATGGAGCATGCTGTCACCTCATCGCATCCCAAGATACGYTACCTTGTTGGATGGGATCATAGGTTGCTATGGAGGTGGTTGGCAATGCTGCCTTCAGGGCTGCAGGATGTTTTATTTCTWCACCTTCTTCCAGTGCCAAAGGCTTCTGTTAGATAATGATGTAGTATCAGTTATGATTGCAAGAGCAAACAAAGCAAATTGAAACAAATAAACTTCACATTTTTTAAAAAAGGTCTCTGTAAAATATACAGGAAGACAGATGGAATGTCATTTTCATCTGTGATTATTATTCTCCSCAGGACCTGGAAAACAATTGTATTATTTTTCCTGGCCATTTCAAAGGTTTGAATCGTATTACTGTCAGATATAAGTACCGGGAAAAGTACCGGGGATGCTCGTAGGATCTCTCAGGGGTAAAACKTCGTGATTTGGAATCTTTTAGGGTTGGAAAAAACAGAAAGAGTACATCGATATTGATTTTCCTCTGCGCTTTTATCACTGGAACT